GAGCTGCTGAATCGCCCACAGACGCCTGTGTAAAAATTAAAAACCTTTTGCGGTTGCATCCAACGGTCTGGTTATTGAGCTCGGGACGTCACTGGGGTATTCAGCCTGAAGCCCGCTTACTTCAGGTCTTTCAGTAGTACTTCATTGGGTAAATGTACTACATTTATTTATCCATTCTTTGTTGAGAGCCATCTAAGTTGTTTCCAGTTTCTGACATTATAAATAAAGCCAGTATGAACACAGTTGAGCAGGTGTCCTTGTAGCAGAGTCTTTTGGGTATATGCCCAAGAGTGGTATAAATGGGCCTTAGGGTAGCCCTCATCTATACAAATGGCAAACGGACTGAGGAAGAAATCGGGGGAAACAACACCCTTCACAATAGCCTCAGATAATATAAAACTTCCTGAGTTAACCCTAACCAAGCAAGTGAAAGACTTGTGTGACAAAAACTTCAAGCCTGTTTGTTTTCTAATGAGAGAGCAAAAAAGGACGTGGGTTTGGGAGGGTGGGAAGGGACTGGAGGAAGGGGAACCATAATCCAAACATAGTATGTGCAAAAAAATCTATTTTCAAAAAAATAAAGAGACATGTTTAAGGTTAAAAAAATCATGGAGATAGAACTAGTAGCATTTAATGAGCTTTATAGTCTCAATCCATCCTTTACTTTTTTTTTCAAAAAGTACTAAGAACTTCTGAAAATTATTTTTCATTAAATATGAATAGACTTTAAATTTAATTGTATATTTCATTATTCTACATTAATTTAAATATCAACTCTATTTCACAAGAATCATTATTCTACACTAATTTCATTATCAACTCTATTTCACAAGAATCATTTTCAGACACATTCAGTGTTCGCCTGCTGCGCATTTGCTCCAACAATGCATTTCCAGGTGCAACTGCCAAGCTGGGACTGTGGTTGTGCTTTGGGGACAAGCACACGATCTCCACATTATTCTTATTTTCACTTACTTCCTAAGCCTTTCATATTCCCAGGGAATCTCTAAATTTTTTACTATAAAATTATCCTTGTAGCATTTTAAAGATTTCTTTGTACAAATTATAGCATCCACTATCTCAAACATTAATTATTTATTGTGCTGGGAAATTGAAAGTGATCACAATGGGCTGGTTTGAAACACACACTTAAAAGTGTCCACGCTGTGGATCTCTGGGTATTGTCCGCGCTGTAGATCTCTGGGTATTCTCCTTCCTGACCATCTCTTCTCCTGAGCCTGGGACCTGTTCTCATCATACCGTTCCCATGTCTTTGCCAGCAGCTGCTGGGGTCAGTATTTGTAGTTCTCGGTGTGCCTTCCTTTCCTCGCTTCTTTTATTGCTGGTGCTTTTCAAGACAGGGTCATGTCATGCTTCTCTGACTTACTTGCCTTGGCTTCATTAGTGCCACCACACCTGGCTACAACAGTCTGCCTAGTTCAAGGGGATTGTGCAGCCATTTGTAATTTCAATCCACATTCACATTTCAATTACTACTTTCTATACTTTGTCTTCCTTCCAAAACCAATAGAGAGAACAGAGCATTTACAACAGATACTGTGCATGGCATTCCATTACATGTTGATTTTTCTACTGTGGATAGGTGAATAGAGGTATACATTCACTGAGTTGTGAATAGAACTGTGCCACCACAGTAGTTTAATATTGTCCTCATACAATATGCTTTAAAGAAATGGTTTTTGCTCTACAATTAACTCTGAATTGAGCATGATGAACTAACTATTCTGTTCACTGTTTTCCCATAAAATAGATGCTACTTCTGTATCATGCATCAATATACGTCTTTGCATTTGAGATTTAGGTGCAATTAACAGGATTTGGCTGGTGCAATATAGCAGTCCCCAGAGTGAAGTTCAATATAGCAGTCCTCAGAGTGAAGTTCATGCAATGGAGGTGTGGTGATTTGAATGAGAATGTCCCTTATGAGCTCATGTACTTGGACACTTGGCCCCCAGTTGGTGGTACTGTGTGGAGGAGGATTTAGGAAGTGTGAACTTTGTGAAGGAAGTGTGTCGCTGGAGGCAGGCTTGAGAGAGACCTTCACCATTTCCAGTTTGCCGTCTCTGCTTCATGCTCGCGGTTCAAGATGTGAACTTTCAGCATCCTATTTCAGCTGCCGTGCTATTCCACCCTGACATAACAGGCTCTAAGTCAAAATGAACAATTTCTTCCATAAATCGTCTTGTTCATGGTATATGGTGGCACACACCCAGCACTCAGTAGGGGGAGGCAGAGTCAGGCAGATCTCTATGAGTTCAAGACCAGCCTAGTCTACAGAATGACAGGGTCCAAAGCTATACAGAGATACCTTTTGTAAAGTGAAGCTTTTTCCTTGGTAGCCGCTTTGGTTTATCCCCCGCCAGTCGCCTGGGCTCTGCCGCATTGTAGTCCCCAAATAACACACAAGATGCTGTATTAATTATGAAGCTGTTGGCCTTGCTTGTTTCTTTCTGGCTAGCCCTGACTTAAGTAATTACCCCATAATTGTTAATCTATGTATTTCTCTTACCAGAGACGTTCTGGGCTTCCTACCCCATGGAGGTTACATCTTGAATCCCTTGTGTTTCTCCTTCCCAGAGTCCTCCTGGACTCCTAGTCCCTCCTATCTAGATTCCCTATTGGCCAGACAGTGCTTTATTGACAAATGCACAGGATTTCCCCAACAGATACCCTATCTGGAAAAACCAAAAACAGAAAAAAAAGTAACCAATACATGAGGTCACTGGACCTTCAGTAACAAATTCTCCTCCCTGACAATCTCAGACATTTCACATGAGGACACAATATCAAACATACACACACACACACACACACACACACACACACACACACACACACACACTCTAACCAGGATCTCTGTTGTGTATTTCTTTTTGGAAGTATTCCCACACTTGCTGAATAACCATGCCAGTGTGTCAATAGACACACTCACATAGTTCTAAAAGGCCTTTTGAGGAAACACTGGCATAATATAGACATAAAGACTCAATTAAGATAAATCACCAAATAACTTCATGCATACCTGTGTGACAAAACCAGGACTGACTACAATGAGAACTTTTTTTTTATAGATAAACACCCTGAGGCACTTCAGTCTCCAGAAATAAGGGGCAAATTTGTAAATCATCATGGGCATCATCATTGCTGCACAGGGTTTCCCATATAACATTTAATATCCAATGCATTTCAATTAAGTTGCCACTTCCAATGACACATTTAATGACACCTCTTTCAAAATACATACCTCTTTAGAAACATTAGGGATTATGTCACATATATGCATGCATATACATGCCATATAATATCACTCAGAGGCAGAATACATCATTTTTAAAATTTTACATCAACATGACATTTTACCTCTTTTGTTCAAGGCATACCCTGAGAGGTCTACACTAGGAAAGGAAATGTATATAGTCTTCAGAGAATAACATTTGGTAAATGTACTATTAACATTGTTTTTGTCCTACGGGACACACAAAGAATAAGGAACAAAGGGGAAATAATTGCAGAGTGAGCATTCAATAGGGAGAAATGAGAACTGCTGATGCCAACAATTCTGACTAAGTAGACAGCTGGGAACATTGTGTTCTGTATTTCTGTGGTTTAGGGATTGGTGTGCCAATGTGTGTATCGCTGCACCTATGTGTTTCATATGCTCTTTCTTTGTGTTTCATATGCTCTTTCTTTGCTGTTTTTTCTGCTCATTTGTTCTCGTATACAGCTTCTTATTGTAACTTTATTACTTTTTCAGTTTTAAGATGCCTGTTTCTTTTCTACTGAGAGCAGGAAAGGATGTGGATTTGGGAGAATGGGAGAATATTGGAGGAGTTAGGGGAGTGGGAACCACAATCCACATACATGGTATGCTTAAAAAAATCTATTTTCACTTAAAATGTTTAATCACAGTTAAAAAATGCTTCTGTTAGCCACACTGGCTTTGTTTTGCTAACACATTAGAAACAAATACTCTCACCTATGGGATAGTTTTATAACAGTGTTCATGTACATTTAGATATGTAGGAATAAAGAAAACAGCAAAATGTAAAGGCATAATAGAATTTAATTAAAGGTGCATATTTTTAGTGTATTTTGGTTTTGACATGAAATTTCTCCCACAGAATTTGAAGTTAAATGTGGACATTGGTTTTGGAGGTGATGCAAACGTTAGGAGGTAGTGTTAAGTTGAATTTATGTCATTAGAGTCATGCTTTGGAACATGAAATATATGGTCCATTTCCTGTCATGATGCAAGGAAAGTCTTGTACCATACCTGCCTGTCACCATTCACACTGGTTTTGGCAAAGTAACCATTAACAAAATCCTTTGAAACCACAATCCAAAACAACTACACTTTAATCTTAATTTGTTTCTGCTGATAGTCACAACAATGGAAAGACAATGAATAGAGTCACGATATCTATCTATCTATCTATCTATCTATCTATCTATCTATCTATCTATCATCTAACTCACCTATGTATCTATGTATATTGACAATTCCAATCAAGACTACATACATGCAAAGGCATGTATCCTACCACTTCCATTTTCCTACTGTATTATTTCTTATATGAAGCATACATATTTCCTATACTGTCATGCTGAGTATTCTTTTTTTTGTTTGTTTGTTTGTTTGTTTGTTTCGAGACAGGGTTTCTCTGTATTGTTTTGGAGCCTGTCCTGGAACTCGCTCTGCAGACCAGGCTGGCCTCGAACTCACAGAGACCCGCCTGCCTCTGCCTCCCGAGTGCTGGGATTAAAGGCATGCGCCACCAACGCCCAGCTTCATGCTGAGTATTCTACAGGCAAATTTTTAACACGAAATACAGGAAAAAATGGATGTTGTAAGAAGTAATTGTGTGCTACCACACGCTTATCAGCATTGCTGGTCTTTGTTTACCTCACTCATTCACTAGTACCAAAATCTAGTTATAAGAACAATCAATGCCCAAAGAAAAAGCTTAATATACACTGGCTGGAAATATCATTGTGTTTATTTGGTAGTATACAGTTGAGTGCATAGTTTCCAATATCATATCAAACAGTTCTATCTGGAAATAAATGTGCAAGTTATATAAACTGAGATTTTCTTCCCCAAATTTATGATGTGTAAAAATGTTGAAGTTTTACCTAAAAAATTTTCACATATTAAAGGAATATATAGTTGCATGGAAGACCGTTCCTCTAATCAAAGCTCCTACGAGAATGAGGCATCATGATCATGAATACGAGAGCAGGACAGGATACAAAGAATTCAGTCAGCCTGGCCTGAATATCTACAGACTGTCTTGCTGAAAACGGTGTGGTTACACTGACAGTGCTCAACTTAATGCATGGTCAGTTTGTTACAACTGTTTTATAACTGCTTATACTTTCTAAAACTTGATTGGTGTCCATGAATGCTGAAAGTCTGGGTGATAGGTAAGCAGTCTCAGGTACAAAAGAAGAGGAAATGCATTGCTCCTAGGTGCACTGTGACTGAGCCACGTCCCCAGCTCAACCAGTTTTAAATTCAAACATGTTCTCACATTCACACTCGATGTCTTGCTTGCTAACATGTGAGTGCAGCTCCTATAGTCTGCAGCTTGGTGGGGTTTCTAGAGTGTCTGTATACAGCTCAATACTGACATTACCAAACTGATGAAAAGCCACATGAGATGTGGCATCTATACTCCTGTGTCACTCTCATGCTTTATTATCTTCTCGTTGTGTTTGTGATGCCAGTTAAGTTTCAAGTACTATTTAAAATTTTTTCTGACATTCTTTACTTTCTTATGGTTCAACAACAATATGGCATCTACTGTCATTTAAGATTTGCTCACTTTTTTGTGACAGGATTTCACTGTATAGACGTAGCTGGCCCAGAACACAATATGTTGACCAGGCTAGCCTCAAACTCACAGTGATCCATATGTTGCTGCCTCCTGAGTGCTAGGATTAAAGTGTGCACCATTATACCGGCTCTCCCAGTCTTTCGGTTTGGTGTCTTGCTATGCTGTTAAAAATCAAGTCCAAATGAGTCTCTGCCAAATCACCCACATGGTTCAGGATGAAAACCTATACCTGGCTAATCACTTGTTGTATACAACTGCACCTTTATGATGGTTTTGATGTAGTCTGAGGTCTGACTTAGGTATCAAAATTTTTTTGTGTTATACATACTGATAAAGTCTACCTGTATGAGGTCCCTGCCCATTAAATGCACTTAATGGTTTTAAAAAAACTTGTTCTATGTTCTTTATATTCAAAGGGTCATTCACCTGTATATACTACATGATGTCAGATGAGATTTGACCACATGAAGTTTCTTACATTCCCTAAATTTATTGGTCTGTACACAGAGATGAGTTAAAATAGAGAGCTTTCTTTATTTCCATGGCTATTTTTGCATCTGTATGAATTCTCTGATATTAACTAAGGGCTAATTTTATGGTAAAAAGTTTCATATGTGTTCTCTGATGCCAGTGAAAGACTGACTTATTGTGTCAAGCTTTACCCTTTATATTCAGGGCTTGTCCCCTGCGTGTGTTTTCAGATGTCGCGTGAGATCTGACTTGGTGTAAAAAGCTTTCTTGCATTCTAGACATGCATAAGGTTTCTCACCTGTGTGTGTTCTCTGATGTCGAGTGAGTTCATACTTGCACTGAAAGGCTTTCCCACAGTCTTTACATTCATAAGGCTTCTCGCCTGTGTGATGTCTTTGATGTACAGTGAGCTGCGAGTTGCAGTAGAACGCCTTCCTGCATTCTTTACATTCATAGGGCTTCTCGCCTGTGTGAGTCCTCTGATGTACAGTGAGGTCTGACTTGCGATAGAAAGCTTTCCTGCACTCGTTGCATTCATACGGTCTCTCGCCGGTATGAGTTCTCCGATGTCGAGTGAGGTCTGACCTGCACTGGAACGCCTTCCTGCATTCTTTACATTCATAGGGCTTCTCGCCTGTGTGAGTCCTGTGATGAACGGCGAGTTGTGACTTGCAGTAGAACGCTTTGTTGCATACCTGACATTCATAGGGCTTCTCTCCTGTGTGCGTCCTGTGATGTACAGTGAGCTGTGAGTTACAGTAGAACGCCTTCCTGCACACTTGACATTCATAGGGCTTCTCACCTGTGTGAGTTCTCTGATGCACAGTGAGGTCAGAATTTCGGTAGAAAGCTTTTCTGCAGTCTTTGCATTCATAAGGCTTCTCCCCTGTGTGAATTCTCAGGTGTACATTGAGCTGTGACTTGCTGTAGAACGCTTTCCTGCATTCTTTACATTCGTAAGGCTTCTCACCTGTGTGAGTTCTCTGATGTACAGTGAGGTGTGACTTGCAGTAGAAGGTTTTCCCACATTCTATACACGCATGGGGTTTCTCACCTCTCTCGAGCCTCCGATATTGACTGAAGGTAGACTTAGAGTAGAAAGCTTGTCGACATTCCTTACATTCATACGGATTTTCACATGTGTGATAGCTCTGATTTGTGCTATACTGTGACTTCAGGTAAAATGCTTCCAAACATACTTCACATTCATAGGACTTTGTCCCTCGGTGGATTTCTTCATGAATCTTTAGTTCTGCCTTAAGACAGAAGAATTTGTTAAATTCCTCATATTCACAGGGACAGCCCTTTGAATTTGCTATGATGTTTTGTTTATCATGATTTCCTAATGACATTTCTAACAATTGCTACACTGAAATATTTCTCTTTAGGTAAAGGATATTATCTCACATACATTCCATTAGAAATTTTACATCCAAATCTGTGCCACGACTTGAATAAATCATGCCTCATCAAAGAATTTCCTATACTCATTGAGCTCATTGGATTTTCACTTCATAGCAATGAAAAGTGTGTTAATAACCCTGCCTTTGTAGGTTTTTCATGATTCAAAATGGCATGATTAACTGTCTTGATGGATATTCAGAGGCTCAGGGTAAGTGAAGGGTTTCAATTACTTTAAAACGATCAGATTCTTTTGTAGCCTGTATCTCACAAGGATCACTAGTGAGAAGTTCTTCTTGCCATATATTAAATTCATGAAGAAACATCCTAAGATAGTTTCCACTCTTCATGTTCAAAGTTGGAATATGATTTTGAGAGACTTGGCGTTAGGTCCCCGGTCAGTGGGCAGATAGGGAGAGGAGCCATAACAAGGTAATAAGGAAGGGAGCTTCTTTCTCACCTTCCTGACCTGAGATAAATGCCTGGCAGCTTAAAAGAAAGGCCATGTGGGCTTCTGCTGCTGCTAATAAGGCACCTTGGAAATGGATCTCCAGTAAGTTTCAGGACAGATCAGCACATGTTTACACCAATGCTATGGTTCTATCAGCCACTCTGTTCAAATAGACTAACCCTAAATTAGGGGAGGGAGACAGCTCAAACATCCTTGAAGCCCCCAAGCCCTTAACTAGAAGCTGGGCTTCAGGCTCCCGGGGCCTCCTTGGCTCTGCAGGAGTCTTTCTCTGTGTGCCTTGCTGTGTGTTTCTTCGCCGCTAATAACAGCCATTTTTCAGCAGTGGTCTGTCTGCTGTCTGAGAGTCCCTTGATACTCGGTGCTGCCCTTATTTCATTTCCTGCCCTTCCTTCCTTCCTTCCTTCCTTCCTTCCTTCCTTCCTTCCCTCCCTTCCTCCCTCCCTCCCTCCTTTCTTCCTTCCTTTCCTTTGTGCCTTTCCATCCTTTAGCTGGCAGAGAAAGTAAACCCAATCAGAAGTTTGTGATCATGTCAGTTTTACCTACTTCAACAAGTTCTTCACTTGATGTATTGCTGTTGATTTCAATTTGCCAGAAATGTCTGTCTCCATTTTTCTGGCCAGCCTCAACCAGGCTACTCATTTTGTTGACACCTGAAAGTATTGAAAATTTTAATTTCCATGAATTGGACAAAAGCTTTATGCAATTCAAATACAAAAGTAAAATAGTGCCTTTTTTATCACATTTGAACTATTTTTTTTGTTTTGTTTTTTGATACAGGGTTTCTCTGCATAGCACTGGTTGTCCTGGAGCTTACTTTGTAGACCAGGCTGGCCTGAAACTCAGAGATTCACCTGCCTCTGCCTCCCAAGTGCTAGGATTAAAGGCGTGCACTACAACCACGCAGTTTACGTTTGAACTTCTAAAATACTATCTTATAACTGCACACATGCTAGTCTTTTTTAAAAGATTTGTTTATTTATTTAATGTATACTGATGTTTTGTCTAAATATATTCTGTGTGAGAGTGTTTGGGTCCCCTGGAACTGGAGTTAGACAGTAGTGAGCTGCTATGTGGGTGCTGGGAATTGAACCTAGGTCCTCTGGAAGAGGAGTCAGTGCTCTTAACTTCTGAGCCATTTCTCCAGGCTCCACACCCTAGTCTCTAATGAATTAGAATAACACTAAGAGGCATTGCAGTGCTAAGTCCTGGCACTCTGTTGTATTGCTGCACTGTTAAAACACATGGCAGTAAAACGCTCACCCATTTCTTAGCTGTAGGTCCCCTTTCACCTTCTACCTGTGCTGTCTCTCTATTATCAGAATGTCATGCCTCTTTCATATGTAAAACATGGAAACCCTCCCACTAGCTGCATTTAGGACTTAGATGTCATCAAATATTCTGTGTGCCCGGTGCAACAAAGATTGGGAAGGGCTGTTACTGTGGCTCAGTTAGTGTACTTGCTTTGATAAGGAACAGCAGGGCCCTCCATGGCGCTTTCTGGGAATGGTGTTTTGTGTTTTGTGAGAAATATTGCTTGTGGCTTGCCTTTACAAACAGAATTTTGTTGCTTTGTTTTAAATTTTCTTCTGTAATAGTGGCTTTAGTATGCATGGAGTGATTCCATTTATGCTTGTCACAGAAATTCATGACATTCTCCGATTTTAGACTTTGTCTCATAGAATAATCTCAATTGGCAGTTTGTATTTTCAGGGCTTAAAACAACAAAGATTATACTTTCTGGAGTTCAGAGTTTCTGTTAAGAGATCAATTATGGGAACTGAGATGGCTCAATGGTTAACAGCACTGGCTGCTCTTCCAGAAGACCCGGGTTCAATTCTCAGTATCCATGTGTCAGTTCACAACTGTCTGTAACTCCAGTTCCCTGGGGTCTGACATCTTCACACCAATGCACATACAGTAAAGTTAAATAAATTATTTTTAAAAAATAGATCAACAATGATAGTAGGTTTATATACAAAAATAACTACCTGGGTGTGGTAACACATGTCTTTAATGCCAGTATTTTGGAGGCAGAAGCAGGAGGAACTCTGTGAGTTCAAGGCCAGCCTGATCTACATAATGTTCCAGACCAACCAGAGCTACACAGAGGGATCCTGTCTCAAAAACCAAAGAAAGCAAAACACACACACACACACACACACACACACACACACACACACACACACACACACACACCACCACCACCAACAACAACAAAACCCTGACTATACTTCCTGCTTATAGTTTTCAATACTCTGCCCACATTCCATCCTTTTGGCATCTTAACTATAGTGACCATTGAGGAAGTATTCTCAGCATCTATCACCTTGTAGTTATAAATGCCATATATGTGGACAGCTGTTTCTTGACCATGATTTGTACAATATTCTGCACTAATTTCATGGAATATGTTTTCTGTTGAGCTTACTCTCAGTTCACTGCTTAATATAAGATTCACAGGCTGGAGAGATCATAAAACTCCAGTCTAGTCCTGCTTATAATTGTTCTGCTTTTTTCTTTATCATGTAATTGTTGCAACTGCTCGATGTTTTCCTTCAAACAAATCCCTGGTATTCTTTCTTCCACACTGTCTACTTTCAAAAGTGTTTTTTTGTTTGTTTGTTTGTTTTTAATTTAGCTTCTTTCTTCCAAGACCTGATACTGTATCTTTTTCAGAACCATTTTTGCTGAACTTCTCAACTAAGAAGCCGAATTTTCCCTGCAAGAATTAAACTGACCTTGTACATGGGCATTCATGTGTATTTGTGTGTTTGAGCATGTATGCACATACATGGAGAGCTCAGTGGGTGAACCTCAGGTTGTTTATCTTGTTTGAAACAGTGTCTCTGCTCACCAGTTACGAGACTGGCTGGCCATGGAGCCCAGGGATCTGCCTGTCCCACCTCCGAAGCACCGAGTTAACAAGCATGGACCACTAAACCATGTTTTAATTTTTGTATTTGTGTACAGAAACTCAGGTCTGTAGCCTTTGAAGGCAAGCACTTTACTGACCAGATCTCTCTCTGTCTAGGCACTTTGTTCATTTGACTACTCCTAGGCTTTGGAATTACTTCTCTGGTGTTTAGTGGTTGCTCAGTGCTCTTTCTCCTTTTCTCTGTACACTATACTCTCACCTCTGACCTCACATTCACACGGCATGGAAAGAACTGCTCATGTGCCATTCAACGCTGCAACTTCTGATGTCCTCTTTTCTCCTTTTTCTTAAAAATCCCTCAGGTGACAAAACTACAGCCAAACAAAACTCTTGCTTGGCTACTAATTTTTAATCTTGTTGCCTCTCTAGTCTTAAATTAAATCCACATGTGTATTTTATGGCAAATTTGGAAAACAGTTATTGCAAAGAAAAACTGAAATAGACAAAAAATTCTTCAATATTTCGTCCCTCTAAAGCCCCATATTCCCTCTGCTCCTGATAAACATTCTGCTGCTTATCTCACCACAATACCTCACCCCTTTGCTGTACTCTTCTTACATTAAACCAAGTATTGTAAAAGGAGATGCACTTGTGTGTGATTAGGATCATGATAACTGCCAAGGCAATGCTAGTCAGAAGGCAGTGTTGACATAATGTCAATACACTCCTAACTTAAAGCATATGGTCATAAAGGGAGGGAAGAAACACAATGGAATACCCAGGTAAAGTAACTGAATTATTCCAAAGAGCCACCAGACAAAGAAGAGACATTCTTCAGCACCAAGACACTGATAGTTTAACACACAGAACTCTGGGGAAACTGGATAAAACAAGTGTCTGTCCTCAAGACTGGGCTTAGATGAAACTTGTTGAAAACAGTTCAACAGGAACAATGTCTGATGGTCTCCGTGTTACAGCCCTCTCCTTGTAGCATTCACTGACCTGACAGGTTCCAGACTGAGGCATCTGCTGTGCTCCAGGGCCCAAGTCCATGTTCTAGGTTGAAGATCAACTCAGGCTTAGTCATGCAGTGCCCTGGGAATGAGAAACAACATCAGACTGACAGCGTGGTCATCAGGACCACTGGTGGAAGACAGGCAGCAGCGGCAGCTTGGGGACTATGCAACAACGGATGATTTAGAAAGGCCTTCCTCCTTCCTCCTTCCCTTCTGCCTGCCTTCTTCCTCCTTTCCTTCCTTCCTTCCCTTCTTCCTCCTTTCCTTCCTTCCCTTCTTCCTTCCTTCCCTTCTTCCTTCCTTCCCTTCTGCCTTCCTTCTTCCTCCTTCCTTCTTCCTTCCATCCTTTCTGTCTTCCTTCCTTCCTTCCTTCCTTCCTTCCTTCCTTCCTTCCTTCCTTCCTTCCTTTGATGGACTGGAGATTAACCCTGTGACCTTGAACACAGTAGGAATGAACACTGTCAACTGAGATACATCCCTAGCTCTAAGTGAATTACGAATTTTTATTAAAGTGGATTTTCACTCATATTCTCCACTGATTGAAATGTTGTTCCCAAGTGGCATTTAAGTAATGATTTGAAGGAACCTCAAAGGGGAGATTGGATGGCAGCATAGTGAGTGCAGTCCTTGTTACACAAGTGTGAGGGACTTCGTTCACTCCTCAGCAGCCATGTAAAGTATACACACCTGTAAACCCAGTGTTGCAGAGGGTGGTCTGGGAATGGCTAGGTCCCAGCCGACCCAGGGGCAGTGAGAAGTACTGTCCCAGGTGAACAAGGCAGAGAGACCAGTAGATAGGAATGCCTCATATGCTTCCTTGGCTTCCATGGACAACTGCATACATGTATGATCACACTCCATATATTCATACATGTCTTTAATTCCAGCACTCGGGAGGCAGAGGCAGGTGGATCTTAGTGAGTCCAACCTGCCTAATCCACAGAGAGAGTTCCAGGACACCCAGGACTGTTAAACAGAGAAACCTGATCTTGAAACCACCCCCCCCAAAACAAAACAAAATAAAAAACACAGGAACAGAGGAAACTTCTAGTAAACAATGAAGAAGATGCAATGAAATTGGATAGACTGTCTGCTAGTTAGGATAAATTAAGCAAAGATAAAGTAGTCATTAAAAAAAGAAGCACCAAAAAGATTTATAAGGGAAAAGCTCAACTGATGTGAAAAAAAATTAAGAAGCAGGAAGATGTCACGGCTGAAGTGGCCCAGGAGAGAAACACTGACACAAAGACTGACTATTTACAATTAAACAAAGGCAGATTAAAGAGTGGGGCAGGGGAGATAGGGTCTAAAGAGATGGCTCAGAGTAAGAGCACAGGCTGCTCTTCCAGAAGATGTGGGTTCCATTTCTAGTCTCCACATGGTGGATCCCAACCATTTTAGCTCCAGATCCAACATGTCTAACCCCTCTTCTGGCCTCCAAGGGCACCAGGCGCACAAGTGCTGCACAGACATACAAGAAGGCAAACTACTCATACACATAAAATTTAAAAATATATATGGAAACACGGTCCTTTTAAGAAAACATGTATCTGCATTATTTTTTTGTGTTCCAGAAGAAAAGAGGATAGATATAATAACATGGACAGCCATATCCAAGGATTTGAACCAACAAACCATTGTGTATCACATTACATTCAACTGACAAAACTCTGAGACAAAGAAAATTCTAAAAACACAAAGAAGGAAGTCTGAACACCTATTATAGGAATGGCCAAGTTTTCACCGGTCATTTTACAAACTAGCCATTACAATGACTTCAAATCCAGACGTGGACACATCCAAATGATAGATTCAATATCCCCAGCAACTAAAAATGTAAATAATCTCCACAGAATAGAAAATGGAGCAGACAAGGACATAGCTATTACAAAATATGATCATGTGTGACTCAGACCAGAAACACAGCACGAAACATACTGTACCCACAGTTAAGAATAAGACAAAGCAAAACCCATGCAGACTTGGTACTCCAGAGACCAGGCTGGGAGGTGCCAGTCACTGGTCAGCTAAGCAGTTAGCAAGTAAAGCTCACGAGAAGGAAGCAAGCTCACTGAACACACTTCGCATGGTACTGAGATGCCATCTGTCTCTGCTCCTACTGAAAGGAGCTGAGAAGCTTTGCTCTGCACTGTGTTCCCTGCAAGAGGCTCTTCCTCAACAGAGGATCTATGTGAAAAGACCAAAGAAACCTCTGTCCTCCCGGAACTAAAGCACACCTTTCCCCCCCTGAGACTTCCCCTCCCAAATCGCATCAGAAGGCTGGGGAGCTGACAAGCACATGCAGTCACCAGATTCTCAACAAAGGCTTTAGAACTCACATTCAGAAAGAAGTTCCCATGAATACTTACTTTGTGAAACCCGGATAATTTACATGCTATGAGAGGGGACCGGACTCCTTTTATGCCATATATAGAAATCAACTAAAAATGGATCATAGAATTCTAAAACTCAGGACAAAGATGAGGATACTCTCTTAATTTATGAGATTACATCAGACTAAATGTCATGACTAGTGCACGCCTAGAATGAGAAAATACTAGCAATTTACTTACTCAGCAAGTGATTGATTAATTTCCAGATTATATAAGGATCTCATTCACTCAACACAGAAAAGAAGATCTCATTAAATCTAGGCAAACAGACTACACTGATATTTCCCTAGCATGAACATACAAATATGTTCACAAGTAAAAGAGATTTTTCCCAAAATGACTTACCACATATAGAATGTTATTTTTAAGATCTCAAATAAAAACTGCTAAGAAACTTACACAAACAGGTAGAAGCAATATATATTAGAGCAACCACTTGAAAATACAGTATGATGGTTTTTAAACTGGACCCAGAATGACATCAACACTGTCCCACTGTTGGTTGTATACAGTCAAAGGAAGTGACACTGGTGTTCCCAGGGAAACATAAGTGTTCTTCAACAAAGCAACATAAGCAGAGAAACATGGCGCATACAAACTTACAATAATAACATTGTGTAGTAGTGACAGGCATACGGGCCATTGTTATTCTGTAGTATGGCTAGTATTCTGGGCTTGAAGTGATTGGCACCATCTTCCAACACAGGATGGTTTTGGCACAAAGTCATGGCAATGGAATGAAGAAAATGATGCAGCAGATCTCTGGGGCTCTGGATGGTAACAGGACTGGTAACATTCCCTTACAAGACTATTATGAGATTCCAACCTGGGCACACTTTTGTCCAATTGTAGGTGGGTAAAACTGTAAGTAAAAACTAACTAGGGTTGGGTTTTTTTCTTTCTTTTTTTTTTTTTTTGCTTTTGATTTTTGCACATCTGAGAATCACAATTACTAACTATATAAGCCCAATAAACTCATATAGTCACAAAGCATTGATGAAATCTTTCTTTGGGCAATAAAACTCCATCCATATTTGGAGCAAACACACTTTCCCTATGTCTCTCCAGGAGAGTTACAATATGAAGATAAATATGTCAGTCACAAAATGAGGTCTTGTATGTTCTCATACTTGCAAACTAAAGGTGGCCTCCAACAGGGAGTAAAGCAACAGCTGCCACTGTGAGGGAAAGAAACGGGAATGGAGATGGAAAAAGAAGGCAAGCATTAATGGGTATCTCAGGAAGGGAGGGACAACATAAGCTCTGCAATGCTATCGTACACAGATAGATGACACCAGCTGAGTACTCCAAAATAACATCAGAGAGATTTTGAGTGATCCCCATACAAACAAGTGATGCCAGGGCTGATACACTATCAGTTAACATCAACTACAAAGTTACCCTGTTCTTCATAAATGCATATCATCGCCATGTCAATTTAAATGTACATTATCAAGCTAGTACAATTGGTACCTCTGAGAATTACAGGAGTCCGACTCACCCAAGGACACCAGGCTGCTGTAGGTCTCCAGCATCACGTCCCTGTAGAGGGCTCTCTGGGCAGCATCCAGGTTCTGCCACTCCTCCCAGGTGAAGTCCACGGCTATGTCCTCAAATGACACCAACACCTGGAATGACAAATTTGTCTTCAAGTTGTCCTCAGCCTTAGGAACAGCAAGTGGGAATTCACTGTTTTATGTGTATCTATGTCTTATCAGTGTCTTATAAAAAGCGTAGCATGTTTTGAATTCTGTATTATGATAGAAGGAAAAATCAACACAAAAGTCTTATCTATGTATTAATCCTGTAATTCAAAAACTGATTAGAAACTTTTCCAATGAATTACAACAGAAACAAAAATCCATAGAGGAATACATGTATATACATGCTTTGTATTATTATGAGCAAAAGACAGACATATATACAGCTAACCATATAAAAATGACATCAAATATACAAAGAACAAACAAAGCAATGAAGAGGAAATGTCGGGGCTGGTAGCACGCCACTGAGGTATAGGGCATGCAGAGAGGGCCAGGGTCATGGGTTCGATTCTGAGAGCCTGGTGCAGCAGAGGCACTAATCTTAAACTGTGGAATCCTCATGGAATCATGTAAATCGGCATAGAGGTTGTGAAAAATTTGTTGATACTAAAAGTTTCCTGATTATGTGATAACCAAAAATGAATTCCAAATCCAAGTGTGTGAATCCAAGGTGTCTGTGCCAACGGTCACTCAGGTTGCATCAGGTGACTTGGATGCGGCTGTTGTGAAAGCTCTCATTTCCTTCCCGCCATGATGACACTGCACCACACAACTCCAGGAAACATGACCCAAAATGCCTTGGCTCACGTGTATGTTTTAAACTACCGAGTATTTAGTGTAAATACATTTTCCACTCTCACAGAGACATGATGACTCAGTTATAGAAAAAAAAATTAACATTTCCCATACTCTTCATTTAAGCATCAAAGTAGTATTGTATTGTCAGAAGCACAGCCTTCCATGTCTCAGTATTTACCTTTCATCTTTAATTAGAAGTATATGTATACTAAAGAATTGTTTTAAAATAACTTCAAGCCATTTGTATACCTATATATCTAGGGTCATATAAAAATATCTCAGATGAAAAGTCGTCATGCATGAAAAATGTTTTAAAAGCCCTAAATAGTAGAAACATGATTTCATGGACATAAACTACATGTATGTATGTATGTATGTATGTATGTATGTATGTATGTATGTATGTATCTATCTATCTATCTATCTATCTATCTATCTATCTCAGGCCCTTCTGAAAAGTACACATGGACTGTCAGACTTCTATATTCGTTATAATTTAGAGAACAACCATATAAACGAGTTTGGCATCACCAGGCACACAATTCCACATCACTAACATAGCCCTGAAGAGAGAAAGTCCAGTTACCTAAACTCTGTCATTCCATCACATGAGCACACATAAAACATGGGAGTTCTCTGCACACAATATTTGTTTCCCCTGGCTTCATCCCAAGGGATCAGGGCAGAAGAGGGCAAAAGTCACAGAATTTTTCCCTGGAAGGAAACTTCCAGCAAGGTTTGTTTACTGCTGTTGCTAACAATCAAGCCTTTATCCAACTTTCCCCAAGGAATGGACAGGCATAATGGACAGAGACCTCTAGTAGCTGGGAGCATCTCAGCCCTTCCTCAGCCTTGTCACCCTCCTTATGTTATCTAGTTCCTCTGAGTACCTCGGCTTTAGGGGATACAGGCTAAACTCCCAAGCTCTGGAGGAAAGGAACCTGGGCATGTATCTCCCTGGATCAGAGAAACTAATTATTTCAGAGGATCATGTGACCACTTCCATGGCCTCAAACCCCTAGCAGTATCACAGAAAAGGGGACAGCAACACAGACCACTGAGATTTCTTTTGTGGCTCAGCTGTGTGGGTCTTGAACATGAGTGTGGCAGGTGACATGGTGGTGTTGCAACGCCAAAGCGTTGGGCATGACTGCAACGTTTGAAGGGGGAAATTCAATCAACAGGCACTACTGTAGGGCCATGGAGGCCACTGGCTTTTGTTTGTTTGTTTGTTTTTCGAGACAGGGTTTCTATGTGGCTTTGGAGCTGTCCTGGAAGTAGCTCTTGTAGACCAGGCTGGCCTCGAACTCACAGAGATCCGCCTGCCTCTGCCTCCCAAGTGCTGGGATTAAAGGCGTGCGCCACCAATGCCCAGTGAGGCTACTGGTTTTTAAGTTGATTTTGTTTCTTGCAATTTTGCTGAAAGTGTTGACACTATAGATACTGTCTGGTAGAATTTTTGGCACCTCTTATGCATTGTCTCACATCATTTGCAAATAAGGACGATTTAACTACTTTTATTATTTATATCTCTTTAATTTCTCTCATTGTTCTAGAAATCCATTTAGAATGAAATTGACCATAGATTTGTCATATATAGCTTTTATGTTGAGATATGTTTCCGCTAGTCCTATTCTTTTATCTTGAAAGCATGTTGGATATTGTCAAAGACCTTTCTGCATCTACTGAGATAGATGATCATTTTGTTTTCGTACTTTTATATGCTTTTGGAAGTCCGCTTATATACTTACTAAATTAATTAACTTATGTATGCTGAAGCATCCCTAGGATTGCTGGAATAAAGCCAACTTAATCATGGTGGATGATCTTTTTAATATATGCCTGTCTTCAGTTTGCAAGTATTTTATTAAGGAGTTTTTCATCATGCTCATCAGGGATAATGGTCTGTAGGTTTCTCTTTTGTGTTTATTTGCCTGGTTTTGGTATCAGATTAATGCTGGCTTTTTGGAAGAAGTACGGAAGCATTCCTTTTGCTTTTACTTTTTAAAAAAAGAGATGTAAGAATGTTGGTTGTAGATCTTTAAAAGTCTAATTGAATTCTGCTATTAATATTTCTTAGTTACTTCTGTGCAGAAGTAACAGAACACTATGGCTAAGGAAATATGTAGAGTTTAGTTTCGCTCAATTCCAGGGAGTTACGGGTCATAATGGCAAGGACACCACGACAGCAAGCAGAAAGCATGCCAGCAGAAGCAGGAAGATGAGAACTCACATCTTCAAGCAAAGAGAGGGAACTAGAATTAGATGGTGGTATATTTTCTCTAGCAGGGCTACTCCACCTCCACTTGCACAGAGAGCACTGCCAACTGGAGACCACATGCTCAAATGCCCAAGACTGTAGTGGATATTTCTCATCCAAACACCACACAATCCATCTGGACCCAGGAACTTTTTTTTTCTTTTGGTTTTTTGAGACAGGGTTTCTCTGTGTTGTTTGGAGGCTGTCCTAGAACTCACTCTGTAGACCAGGCTGGCCTTGAACTCACAGAGATCCACCTACCTCTGCCTCCGGAGTGTTGGGAGTAAAAGCGTGTGCCACCAACGCCCGGCTCCCAGGAACTTTTTAGTCTGATGGCTCTTTAATATCCTTTTGATTTCCATAGTTTTACGGGTCTGTTTAGGTTCTTTGATCTTTTCTCAGTTTAACTTTGGTGGTTTAGATGAATCTAGGAACTCATCCATTCCTTTAGGTTTTCTACCCTAATGGAGTACAAGTTTCTAAAGTACTTCCTTACAACATTCTGAATTTCTTTGGTGTCTGTTTTAATGTTGTCCCATTCATTTCTGATTCTGTTCATTTGGGTCCCGTTTTGTTTGGTTAATTGGGCCAAAGGTCTGTCAGTCTCATTTATTTTCTCAGAGAATCAGCTCTTAGATTTGCCTGTCTTTGTATTGTTTTCATTGTTTCTACTTCATTAATTTCTGCTCTGATTTTATAATTTTCCCCCATCTATTAGATTTGGCTTGTTACTCTTTTTTTCAGAATTCTTATAGTGTACAATTTAATAATTTATCTGTGTTAATTCTTTCTGCTGTATTTATTTTTCTTTTACTAGACATTTATTGAATCCAGGTCTGGAGACAAGATGAGCCTAGGAAACAAGTTGTGTTTTCTGTGGAGCATGAGACCTGGAGAGGTGGCCCAGGCCATGGCCCCTGGAGCACAGAGGGTCATGAGTGAGTCCCAGATGTCAGACACCAAACAGTTTACACTGCTGGACCTTGGTTTTGCTGTGACCTGATTGTGACTGTGCCCTGGTTCTTCCTTCTTTTAATTTATTTTCTCTTTTTCAAAAGCCTACAGAGACTTTGCATATTTTATAAAGGCTTTGGATATTTTAAAAAAGACTGAACATATAAAGTGTTTAAATTGGTAAAGACTGTGGGACTTTAAAAGTCAGAATGGGCAGAGCATGGCAGCACATATCTTTAATCCTAGCATCCGGAAAACAGAGGTGGACAGATCTCAAGTTCAAGGCCAGAGGTCTACAAAGTGAGTAGACAGCCAGTGTGACACAGAGAAACCCTGTGTCGGGGGGAAAAAGTCAGAATGTTTTATATTGTCATATTAAAATAACATCTCAGAGACAAGAAAGGAAAGGTTATGGTTATATGTCAGGTTGACAAGGGGTCAGTTGCCCTGACTAGTTTTATGTCAACTGGTGCAAGCTAGAATCATTTTTGAAGAGGAACCACAATTAAGAAAATGCTGCCACCAGATTTGTCTGTGAACAAGACTGTGGTACATTTTGTGTATGTTCTTGAGGGCCCAGATCACTGTAGGTGGTGACACCCCTGGCCTGGTGGTCCTGAGTGTTATACGAAGGCAGGTTGAGCAAGCCAGTGAGCACAATTCCTCCATGCCTCTGCTTCAGTTCCTGCCCTGACTGCCCTTCTGATGGACTGTGATCAGGCCGTGCGCTCTTTCTTCTCCAGGTAGCTTTTGGTCATGGTGCTTCATCACCGCAGTAGACACCTAACGAAGACACACCAGGCAAGGCTGGCGTACAGGCTGTGTGAGGATTGGGGATGGCAAAGGCAGGAGAGGTTCCAGGATTCACCAGGCTGGGATGGTGCACAAATCTGTGCTCTGGACTAGGCCTGAAGCAGAATTCATGTTCCCAAGCCATGGTCAATCTCCTGGCATCTTCTCTGTGAAGTTACATTTGTTTTTCATGGATAAGAAAAAGCACAAAAACCAATTTACATAGTTTTCTACCTAAGTTTTAAAATATTTTTATTCTTTGGAAATCTTTGAGATGTACACAATGTATCTTAACTATCTATCCCCAGCCTACCCCTTCCACTCCCCTTGAACATTCCATCTCAACTTCATGTCCTTCTTTTTCTTAAGTAACCCACTGACTCCCAATGCACATGGGGGGGGGGACATCCACTGGAGGATGGGGTGACCTACCAGGGCCCCATCCCTAAGAAAACTGATTTTCCAAAGTTTGTTTATTCATTAAACCATGATGTAAATTACATACTTAGTGTAACGTAACTAAGAAAGTCACAGAATGTTCAGGTGTGTGATCCTTGCTAGGGATGTGCCACAGACTCACCATTTCCGGGTTCCAGGACACCCAGCGTCCTCACACAGTTCTCAAGGGAGCAGCATGTCACCAGGAAACAGAAGTGGCATTAGAGCCCCTTGATCAAGATGAACCTGATGACAGATCACATGATGGTTTGTTCAGACAGTGACTGCCAGTCCTACAGTCCTTACACCTGACTGGACATTCCTCATCTTTGTGCTGGATGTAGTTTTGGTCCTCACTCCCTCAGACTCTGAGTAACAGCAGATGACATAATCCCATGGGGGAATGAAGCAGGAAAGACAATTCCTGTCAGCAGGTATTCTAAGGCAGAATTCCCAGCTCAGGGCTGCCTGTGGCTATCATTGTGGCCCAGTTAGAGGCTGGCCTCAAATGACTGCTCCTACCATTGCCACCTTAGGAATGACTCAGGAACAAGCCCTGACATGACTCTCATTACCCTACTGACACTGGCCTCTCAGAAGACTCATCCTCAAACAGATACAGAAAACAGAACTCACTTATTGTAGATTTTACCAATACCTCTCCAAAGAGGATGCAGCCATAAGTAATTCATTTTGTGTCTTTTTACCTCCAACCCACTTTCTTGCATCTCCTACTGCCCAACACACTGAGACCTTCTCCCTACTCTCAAACACTTTTATCCTTCTCCTGCTGCAGAATACACTTTCAGTCATCTCCTACTGTCAAACACCCTTCCATCCATCCCCTACTCCAACATCTTCCATCATCCCCTACTCTAACCCTTCCATCCATCCCTTACTCTCCAACATCTTTCATCTATCCCCTACTCTTCAACATCTTCCATCCATCCCCTACTCTAACACTCTCCATCCATCCCCTACTCTAACATCTTCCATCCATCCCCTACTCTAACATCTTCCATCCATCCCCTACTCTAACACCCTTCCATCCATCCCCTACTCTAACATCTTCCATCCATCCCCTACTCTAACACTCTTCCATCCATCCCCTACTCTAACATCTTCCATCCATCCCCTACTCTAACATCTTCCATCCATCCCCTACTCTAACACTCTTCCATCCATCTCCTATTGTTCAAAGCACTTCTACTGTAGAACACACTTTAACCCTTCTCCTACTTTCCTATACACTTGCACCAATTCCTATTATCCAACACATTTTCTCCATCTCCTACCGTCCAACACAGTTTCACCATACCTCCTAGTCTCCAGCACAGTTTCACCCTACCTCCTGCTTTCCCTTTTATCTTGTACACTATGCCCATGCTCAAGGCTTTACTCTTGCTCCTGGATTTGGAACTTGGGGGAGTTTTTCTGCTAAGAAGAAAAAGATGAAGAAAATTGAAGAGGTACAGAGTACAGACGACAGAAACTGCCTGTAGTAGCATTTCTTGCTTGTTTTCTCTTATGTAAAAGGTGCAAGCTGCTGCTCAGTTCTCATGCTAGTCAGACTCTGCCCCATTCCAATTAAGCTGCTCTGTTTTGACACCATGTAACGTGGTTGGGAGATGTCCAATTACTGTAGAGTGAGTGCACAGAAGTTGCATTTTTACTGGTTTGGAAATAAGACTAATACTGTCATTGTAGAAGGTATTTGGTAATGCTCCTTCCATTTCTTTTCTTTCTTTGGTTAAAAAACAAATTTAAGAAAGACTGGTTGTGGATCTTCCTTGGAATTGTCGTAGAATTCTGCTGTGAACCCATTTGGGCCTGGGCTTCTTTTGCAGAAGGCTATTCATCACTATTTCCAGTTCCTCAGTTATGTACCAGTTTACGCTGTGGTCTGTTTCAGAGAAGCTTCCATGAGCTGCTGGGTGTCTATTCTTTGGTGCTTGAGTGGAACATTCTTTAGGCATGTTAGTTCATATGACGTATGCTTTCATTTAATTCTGATGTTTCTGTTTATTTTCTGCGCAGATGTTGTCTACTGGAGAAAGTGGTGTTCTGAATGGAGTTAATCTGCAGGGAGCCTTGCTCCTAGTGGATCTGATGACCTGGGACAGATATGTGAAGTCGGCGAAAGGAAGAAAATCCTGACCACCAGCTTCACACAAGTGGCCCCGGATAGACCGAGCCAAGTTTATCTATACCATTCCAATATTCTACATGGACAGTTTTTTTTAAAGATTTTATTTATTTATTACATATACACCAGATTGAATTGTAGATGGTTGTCAGCCACCATGTGGTTGCTGGGAATTGAACTCAAGACCTCTGGAAGAGCAGTCAGTGCTCTTAACCTCTGAGCCATCTCTCCAGCCCCCTACATGGACAGTTTTACAATCATATTTGCTTCCTTAATTTTCCAATAATAATTACAATAATTGCCAGTTCTCTCCCTTACCTCATTGTTCTTCCATCCCCCAATTTTCCGACCAGTAACCATTGTCTACTTTATTCATAAGCTCTGATGTTAAAAACATAAGCAGTATTGCAAGCAAAACAAAGGAAGTTTTCTAACTAGGCACACCTACAGATAGAACAGTGTGCCCAGTTGGCAGCATTTGTGGTTACAGCATAATGCAAAGTGGAAGAGTTTTTGCTTTAATGGTTAATGTTTATCTCTGGTCAAATCTAAGTTCTCATAATCAACTTAACAGCCAAAGCTGAACTGATTCTTTCTTCATTCTATACTACTCTATCTCCCATGGGAGATACCAAGTTTTCTCCCATCATCCTGTAAACTGCATAACTTAAAAGCTGACTCTTAGTCATCAGCACTGCTTTTCTCTTGTTCTCATGTCCCTTTCCTGTCAGCTTCCTACAGTGTTGTCTCCTACAGTATTGGCACAGTTACAGAAATGAAGGCATTGTGGGTTTCTGTGCGTCTGCTTCATTCCCTGTTCTTAGACTGTTCCCACTAACTCTTGCTACCATCTTTTCATCTGCATTACTTTTAGACTCTTGTGGTTAGAATCATTCTCTCCAGGACAATGATTCAAATTTGTAATATTGTCATGAACTTCTGTGACTCTTGTGTTGGAAAGGCAGCATCCTGTTCGTATATTTTTGGTTGTGAGCCTAGCCTTTAATGGCTGAGCCATCTCTCTAGCCTGGCAGCATCCAGTTATTGAGAAGCCTGATTTCATGGTCACACCTGAAACATCAAAGGCTTTAGAAGCTGAATCAGATCCAGTATATTTTTTTAAACAACGTTCCCTCTGGCTTACACAGAGGAGAGTCATCAGGGAAAATTTTCCTAATACTATAGCCATTTCATGCATGGCTCTAAAGTGGAACTAGAGGCAGTCAGCAATATGATTTGTGAAAGGAAAGCAAGGAGAGCAGGCAGCACATATGCTCCTGAGGTCATGCCCATAAGTATACAGAAAACTATCCATTGGTCTTGCCAAGAATGGGTTAAATTCTCCCAGGTCTTGTCAAAAGGAGAACTTGTTTGTGCTATTCTCAGGCCTTGTCGACTGAAGAAGTCACAAGGCTCCCAGCATTAATCTTTGTCTTTAAGGTCAGTGGTATGCTGTTTATGACACTGCGCGTGCCAGTGTTCAGTGCATATCTGTTCAAGATTTTAATGTCACCTTGGTTAATTATTCCAGTGATTAACATAAAGAGTACTTTATAGCTCCTGGTTTGTTTTAGATTGAAGCCTATTTGCCAGATGTCACAAGAGCAACATCTGCTTGCTTCTTGATCACATTTGCTTAGAAACTTTTACCAATACTATTTTTGGAGGTAAGACAAGTTTGTTTTAGACATCAGATAGTTTGTTTCTTAACCCATTCAACTAACCTGTGTTAGTTAACAATATTTAATGTTATTATTCTAAGGTAGGTTGATTGCTGTCATTTTGCTGTGTTTTTATACTTTTTTATTTCTGTTTGTGTTCTCAGTCCCATTTTTGTGATTCAGTAATTATAGCTTCATTTGTTTTCTTTCTATGATCTCTGGCTATGCTTATTCCTCTCATCAGTGCAAAGCCTTGCTTCCAATATTCTCCGTAGGGGCATGTTTTGTGGGCATCAATTCTGTTGGCCTGCTTATATCATGGAGTTTGTTTCCCCCTTTCAAATATGGTACATGGTTTTGCTGCATACAGTAGTCTAGGTTGGTGCTTACAGTCTTTGAGAACTTGAAGTGCACTATTCCAGGATTTTCTTTCTGGCTTTTAAATCGTCCCATTTAGAAACCACCTCCTATTCTGATAGATCTTTCTTTATCCATGACTTGTCATTTTTCTCTTGCTGCTTTCAGTACCCTCTCTTTGTGCTGTATGTTTAACGTCTGAACTGTAAAATAAGATGCCATAGGCAGCTTCTTTTCTAGTCTTGTCTATTTGATGGTCTGTGTGCTTCTTGTATCTGTATGAGTGTGTCTTTCCTTAATTTGGTCAAGTGTTTTTGCATAATCCTGTTGAAGAACTGGTCTATGCCACTGACCTGGGATTCATCTCTTTCATCTATGCCTATAATTTGAAGATATGGTATTTTCATGGTATCTGACAATTCTTGCATGTCCCTTTTACATTTTAATTTTTTTTCATACTCTTGGCTTGAGTGGTATCTTAGGGTTATTATTGCTGTGATATAACATTTAATTTGGGCTTGCTTACAGTTTCAGTTTCAGATGTTTGGTCCATTCTCATCATGTTTGGGAGCATGGTGGCATGCAGACAGACATAACAGCTGAGAGTTCTACATATGGATTTGCAGGCAGCAGGAACAAAGAGACACTGGGCCTGGCTTGAGTTGAATGCCTTCCTGAATTCTGTCTTCATGTGGTTTCTAACCAGTATGAGTTCTCTGAAGTAGTACAGTGAGCTGTGACATTGGCTTCTCTGATGTCAAATGAGTTGTGACTTGCTAAAGAAAGCTTTTCTGCATTATTTACATTCATAGGGTGTTTGCGTGTGTTCTCTGATGTACAGTGAATTTTGACTGAGCAGAAAGAATGTTTTCCTTACAGTCAGGGCGTTTCCCTCCTGTAGTATTCTCTGATGTAGGGTGAAGCTTGTCTCCTGGAAGAATATTTTCCCATATTTTTTGTATCCATAGGGTTTTGACCTGACAGAGAAATATTTACTGCATTCTTCATATCCAGGAGGGTTCTCACCTTCTGAATTACTTATGATTTCTGACTTACTGTAGAAGAAAGCTGCCCTACATTCTTTACAGCCATAGGGCTTCTCAACTGTGTGGAGGCTACAATGTAGATCCATGACTTATGGGAGAAGGCCTTCACATTCTTCACATTCATAAGGCTTCTCACATGCATGAATTCCTTGATGTCAAATGACGTCTGACTTGCTAAGAAAGAGACATTCATATGGCTTATGACCTGTCTGACTCCTCTGATGTACAGGGCTGTGACTTGCAAGAGAAAGCTTTCTTGCATTCCTCATATGAATTTCTCACTTGCTTCTAACTACATGAATTTCCTGATACATAGGGAATTGTGACTTGAAGTTAGCAGTTTTCTTGCCTTCTTTACATTCACAAGATTTCTTCCGGTATATGTTCTCTGATGAAAAGTGAGGGCTGACTTCAGATTGAATACTTTCCTAACACTCTGGAAACTCATAGGCTTCTCCCCGTTCTAAGATTTCCGATGTTGAGTGGGGGCTGACTTACAATAGAAAGCTTTCCTATATTTTATATGTATGTAAGGTTCTTAAAATGTGCCTTTAATGCCATCACTTGAGAGGCAGATGCAGGTGGATTCCTCCAGAGCTGTGACATCTAGTTGGACATTTTCGCACATGCTTTATATATTCATAGGATTTTTCGCCCTTAGAGGATTTTCTGTCGAACTTTTAGTTCTCAATCAAGACATAAAAAAATATTTATATTCCTTATACTCACAGGGCCTTTTCCTAGCATATATATCCTAAAGTTTTCTGAAGTACAACTACTTAGTAAAAGATTTCTCAGAATAAGTATATTTACATTTTTCTTTCATGTGTGTACTTGCCATTTTCTCAGTTCCATCTTAGAACATTACCACACATTAAATTTAATGAGTTCTTCCTTACAGTTTTCATGTTTGGGGCATTACATGCTACCTTTAAAAGGACTTCTAACATTGATTGAATCTACTAGAGGCATCATGAATATGAAATTGCTCGATGTGTCAGTAAGATTGCACTGATTTTGATGGATATCCCTCATCAAATATATTGCATATAATACCATGAATCTTGGATCTTGTTATGGAAACTAACATGGTCAGGACATCAGAGGGCTCCCTCAGTTATAAAAGTGTAGATTTAGTGACACTTCTTTGAAAAGCCAACACACATGTTCTCAGCTGCCTTGTTTTCTTCCCAAGTCCCTTCGTCCTCACCCTCATGCTTACAATCTACATTTTACTCCAACTTTGTTTAAGAAGAAAGCTGGCCTTCTCCAGCCTGCAGCTCGCTGGGCTCACTCGGAGAAGCCCTGCATTCCTGAAGAGCTTCCATTCTTCGTGTTCAGATCTGAAATGTGGTTTGAAGGCTCACAGTCAATGTTCTACCTAAGTCACCAGTCTTCATCTGATGTACTACATTTTTATTCCTATTTGCCACAAGTCTTTCTCTTGATTTTTCAAGCTGGTCTCAACACTTACATTGACTGTATGAACACAGAAAGTGATATTACAAATACAACCACCCAAGAATCAAGTGTGATGTGCTGAATTTGGAAAACAGTTAAGTACAATTTAAACTAAAATAAATAAACAACCCCTTAACACAGAGTTCAATTTATACTCTTCTTAAAATGAAACCTCATACTTACTTTTTTTCTCTCTTCCTAGCAAATATTCTCTGAGCTCTATGTCACTATAACCCTCATATCTTTGATTCACTTTTCTTTTAATGAATTTAAGATGACTCTAAGAGTTGTCTGTGGGCACTTGGGAGGCAGAGGCAGGTGCATCTTTATGAGTTCAAGATCAGCCTGGTCTACAAAGTGAGTGCCAGGACTACACAGAGAAAAAAACAGAAGAGCTGTCTATGTGATTACTATTGGTATTAGCACCACAGTTACAAAGAATAACTAGGGATCAAAATCAAGTGTTGGAGCCAGGCGGTGGTGGCGCACGCCTTTAATCCCAGCACTCGGGAGGCAGAGGCAGGTGGATCTCTGTGTGTTCGAGACCAAGCCTGGTCTACCGAGTGAGTTCCAGGACAGGCTCCAAAACAATACAGAGAAACCCTGTCTCGAAAAACCAAAAAAAAAAAAAAAAAAAAAAAAAAATCAAGTGTTGGAAGAACATGTTAGCAACTGCTTAAATTAAAAAGGGTGATGCCGGGCGTTGGTGGCGCACGCCTTTAATCCCAGCACTCGGGAGGCAGAGGCAGGCGGATTTCTGTGAGTTCAAGGCCAGCCTGGTCTACAGAGCGAGTTCCAGGACAGCCTCCAAAGCCACAGAGAAACCCTGTCTCGAAAAACCAAAAAAAAAAAAAAAAAAAAAAAAAAAAGGGTGAGAATTCAGATAGAGAGACTAATGAATAAAAACATCTCAGCCAGTGGTTCTCAACTTCCCTAGTGCTGTGGCCCTTTAATACAGTTCCCCATGTTGTGGTGACCCCCAACCATAAAATTATTTTCGTTGCTGCTTCACAACTGTAATTTTCTACTGTTATGAATAATAATGTAAATGTCTGTGTTTTCCAATAGTCTTAGGTGACCCTTATGAAAAAGGGTCATTCAACCCCCAGAGGGGTCACAACCACTGGATCTAAGTAATATATAGGATTGAAATTTTAACAAACCCAAGGAAAAAAATACTTCAATAGCAGAAACTGGGGAATGTGTAAGCATGGAGAACCTTTTCAGAAACTGCAGAAAACACATGTCTGAATCACAGGACTAGCTGTCTACAGGGATAGTTTGTCTAAGGGATAGTTTGGGTATAAAACAGCTCAACACAACCAATATACGATGCACTCTCTTCCTGTTGATCCCCTTGTGCCATACGAATTGACTGACCTGGGAGGCATCGAACTGAGGCATCTGCTGTGGTTCATGGCCCGAATCTAAGCTCCCACTTAAAGATGAACTCTGGTTTGGTCATGCAGAGTCCTGCAAATGGGGAAAAACGCATCAGTTTTGCAATGTGCTAAGTGAGGTCCACAGATGAGATGGCGGGGCTCCATTCCAAAGCCTGCACTCTGAGAAGTGACTCAGACACTTACACAAGACAGAATTTACTCTCACATTGTTCACCGACTGGACTGTTACCTTCATGTGGAATTAACCTGCATGATAAATAACCCAAAGTATTGATTTGGAGAATATTTAAGATTTGGAGGAGATAACAAAAGAGAAAATACAACCAAATTGGAGAGAAAACTCCATTAGGGCACATGGAACTCAGAGAAAAAGATAATTATAAAGAACCGGTCAGAAACTTTGCATGGAAAGAGCTCAATTTAAAAAAAAATGGAAAGACAAAGCCAGGCATGGTGACAGAAGTCATTAACCCCAGGACCTGAGAAGAAAAGGCTGGAGATCTCTGTGAGTTCAAGGCCAGCCTGGACTATATAGCAAGTTCTAGGCCAACCAGGACTACATAGTGAGATCCATCTGAAAAGAAAGAAATGTAAAAAAGGAAAAACAGCTTTCCAAAGCAACACAAACAAAGAAGAAAAAGCAAAGAGTCCACAGCTGAAGTGACAAGACAAGGAAAAATTCCAAAGCACAATGACCTTATTTTTAAATAACTCAGACAGGTTAAGAAATGGAAAACATATAAGGAATAGTTGACCCTTTGACATACAAAAATGAGCATTAAGGAAGTGCACACTAGTGATATGTTCCAGAAGATAACGTACACGAAAATAGTTTCAGCAAGGGAATTTTACCATCATAGGAGAGATATACAGTCTCAAGAAACTCAAAGATCTGAACAATTGCGTCAGACATTGAAACCAACAAACTTCTCTCTTAGAGCACTCTATAGCCCTCAAGAGGTACGCCTACAGCCCCTAATAAAAGAACCAAAGTAGAGATCCTGCCAACTTCCTAGCTATAACCTTACAAGCAGCATAACAAGACTTTTTTCATGGGGGAGCAGGTTGTTTCTTTTGTTTTGTTTTTTGAGACGGTTTCTCTGTGTAGCCCTGACTGTCCTGGAACTCGTTTTGTAAACCTGGCTGGCCTTGAACTCAGAGATCCACCTGCCCCTGCCTGCCAAATTCTGGGATTAAAGGCATGCACCACAACCACCTGGCTTGCATAATGCTTTTAAAACTATATAGAGTAAATTTAAGGCTAACGTGGGCCACAAGAGACAGTTGCAGAAGACAAACAGAGAGAAATATAGGCTCCAAAATGGTTATAACTGAGTTATAAACCAGTTCTTAGACAGGAAACAGAGTGTCAGTTCTAACCTGAAAAGCAACGCGCCTCTCCTGCACTTCAGAATGGACGTGCTGTGGCTGCAGAGGAGGCAGTGGTATCCATCCGGGCAGCTTTTGGATGTTAAAAGAGACTGGGGTGAATGTTGTGATGTGCACTTGTTTCAAGCTACCTGAGAGGCTGGGACAGAAAAATGAGCTCAGGGCCAGTCTGGACAAAGAGTGAAAGTGTCTCAAGCCCAGAGTGGGGCATCCTGTTTGTGATGCCTACACTCTGCAAGCTCCATCACCTGTCAGAGGCCAACCTAGGCTACCCAGCAAGATCCTGGAGAAAGAGGAAGACAGATGTAGAGCCTAAGACCTCGGGGCAGTGGTGGGGGTACACACGGGGCGGGGGGGGGGGGATGTAGTGGCACATGACAGTAATCCCAGCCCTCTGGAGGCGGAGGCAAGAAGAGACTGCAAGACCAAGGTCAGGCTAGGTGACACAAGTGAGGTCCAGGCCAGCCTGTGCTTCAGGTAAGACCTTATCCCAAACAGAAATAAGTAGTCAGTCATGGACACAGCTGTCTATAGTCAAACCACAGACCCAGCGCCACCCATGAAGACACACATGAAAACTCTTTTTTGTTTTTGTTTTTTTCGAGACCTGTCTCTGTATTGTTTTGGAGGCTGTCCTGGAACTCGCTCGGTAGACCAGCTGGCCTCGAACTCACAGAGATCCACCTGCCTCTGCCTCCCGAGTGCTGGGATTAAAGGCGTGCGCCACCATCGCCCGGCCCACATGAAAACTCTTAACAAGGGCTTGTGAGATGGCTCAATGGAGAAAAGCATTTGCCACCAAGTCTGCACTACTGAGAAGCTTTAGCCATGGATTTAGGGGCAATAAACGATGGCTCTCCAAACCAAAAGGAGATTGTAAACGTGTTTTTATTTGAAGGCCAAATGACTTCATAAAGAGAAAAAAATCAGTAAGATGGCTCAGGAGGTACTGGCAATTGCCACCAAGGCTGATGATGACCTAAATTCAATCCTTGGGACCCACATAGTGAAGAGAACTGAATCCTACAAGTTTTCTCCTGACCTCCGTGCACATGTTTGTCCACACACATAGACAAGTGAAATAAAACTTTAAAAAGAGAAAAACATACTTCACAGAAAGGGGGAGTGAACCAAACCACAGAACACAAACTTGCAACACCATGTATGCATATCACAAATGCATCAATAACAAAATTCCTGGGTTGAGACTGTAGCCTCACATGCACAAATCCTGGATTCGCTCCCTAGCGGCAAATTTGAGGACAGTGGGACATGTGACGAATCCCCGCAATGCAGAGGGAAGTAGGAGATTAGAGATTCAAGGTCATCCTCAGCTACACGGTAAATTCAAAGCTAGCCTGGGCTACACGAGACCCATCTTAAAAACTAGTACAGATTGTTAATGCAGTAACTCAGAATTCCATTCATAGTAACTACTAAATTAGTTTTAAATAGCTTCAATTTATTTGTGTTCTCACTTATTATGGATCTGGAGGTTTTACTTATTTATCTACTTGTATGGATTTCAGTGATGGGGCTTGACCCAGCTCTTCACTACTGAGCTAATTTATAATCTACTAGCTGAAGAGCGAAAGACCACTATCCTGAAAACTCAAGAACTCTGGGACAGCTCAGAGAACACCACTCCCGTTCAAAACCGGATGACCACGTGATCCAGGACCCAAGGCAGGAGGACCGCTACTCTTTGAGTCCAGCTGCGAGTTGACCCTGGTCCCTTTCCAGACGGTCTCCTTGCTCTCTTTCAGGATGTCAGAGGATACAGACACAGAGATGGGAAGAGAAAGGGTACAGAGAGTCAGGGTTGGTGGTTCATGCCCATCTGTAAACCCAGGGACTGGAGCGGAACAGTCAATAAGCCCGAGGCTAGCCTGAGCTGCAGAAAAACAAGAAAACGCAAGGTGGGAAGGAGGAGATCTCAGGAAGCATAAGAGGCCATGGTGGTTTGAATGAGAACGCTCCCACAGGCTCCTAAGGCTGAATTAGCAGAACTGTCTGGGAAGGATGAGGTGGAGCCTAGTTGGAGGTGTGTCACCAGGGACAGGCTGTGAGGTTTCCAAAGACCTGCACCTTTTCAATAGGCTCTCAGCCACCTGCTTATAGACCTAGGTGTGAGCTCTCAGCTGCTTCCTTTTATAAGTGCCTTGGTCACGGTGCTTTATCACAGAAACAGAACAATAACTAACATGGGGACTCTGCATTGCCCGTGGCAGGTTTGGGGTACAGTCTGCTTTTCCCTACCCTCCGAGTCTCCAAAGCCTCCTAACATGTGTCTTTTGACTCTGTTATCAGTTATCAACCTTAGGAAAATGCTGGAAGCCAGGGACTGTGGGCCCCACCTCAGGTCTGCCCCGTCTCCCCTTGCGGTCTTGTGCTTCATGGCCCCAAGCCTCGCCCCGTGGCTGGTTCCTCTCTGCAAAGCAAGAGGGAGAGGGAGGGAGCAGGAGGAGTTGGAGCACCAAGGCCTAGGCGCCTTGAGCCTAACTGTGGTCTCTGGACCATCTGCCTCTTGCTGTCTGTCTCCTGTCTCTCACCATATCTGCACCTGTCTCCAAGGCTCTACAGCTATATGCATCTGGATTCCACAAGCATCATCTTGTCTTCAAGGGCTTGGGCTGGGTGTGTGGACCCCACAAATAAAGACATTGCAGGTGTTTGCATGATCCCAACCTCATGTCCAGGAGACCAATGTAGAACCTGGGAAGCAAAAAGTACCTTTTTGCACAAGGTTCCTGCCATCTGCCAGCCCCTGAGGTCTTCTCTGCTACAAAGGACGTGGACCAGCCCTGACGGAGCAGGCCTGTAATCCTAGCGATTTTGGAGTCCAAGACAGGATAATCCCAGATTGAAGACTAGCCTAGGCTATAGACCACGATCATGTCCCAAAACAAACCAAGAATCCCAGTGGGAATATGGCTGAGTAGCAGAGCTTGTCAAACATGCTGAAATTTCTAGGTTCAACTCCTAGATACAGACACAGACAGAGAAACACACACAGACAGACATAGACACAAAGGAGGGAGGGATGGAGGGGAGGAGGAAGGGAGGGGAGAGGCACTAACCAAGATCAACAAGTCAGGAAATGGGGATTCTGATTCCAGCCTACGCCTAAGCAACCCCAGGGCCTGAAGGGAAAGGCCTCAGGGGGACACTAGGGAAAGATGGACCAGTGACAACAAAGACATAAAGATAGTCACAGACATTCAGAGCTAGTCAGCCGGAGCCACCAAGCCAGAAGCACACCCAGACCCGCACAGGCAGTCTGTGGTAGGGTAGGGCAAACAGCACTGGCGTAGCCTCCTGGACAATGGCCCCTTGTCTCCGGGAGATGGTGGTGATGATGGCTATCCATTCACCCTAGGTTCAGCTTCCCAAGGCACTCCACACTAAGGCTACAGCTCCTGTCTCCCACACCGCATGCCCAGTCCTCAGAAACAGCAGAGACAAGGGGCCTTTATCCCAGGGCCAACACCATCACAGCCTTCAGCACCACACTGCTAATTCAGACACCCTCTGCAAACAGCCACGGCCCACTGCCACTGATGTTACTGGCAGGACTAACGTCTTCCTGGGCCACTGTATGGCAGCTCAAACGTACTGGTGGTCCTAGGAGCCCACTAAGCCTGGGCAGGCCAGGGTGAGCTGCTTCCAGAAGACCAGGCTCAGATGCTGGCTGCCTGAATTCACCAGAGTCCACAGACAGAGCTCAGGACCAAAACAGACTTAGTTCTGGGTAGCTGGAGACAGAACGGAAGACACAAAAGCATCTAAATCCCAGGTTATAGAAACCAAATATGAAGTCTCCAAGACTTGGGGGTCAAGAGACCTGGGGGAGAGTATTCCACAGTCAAGATGCACAGACAGTGGGGACCTAGACTAGTCTGATTAAGCGGGCTACAGACCACAGCTCCCAGGGAATGAAGTCTTCCCTTGAGCCTTCTCGAAATGGTGTGCTGCAAGGATTTCCCAGGGAGAGTCAAGTTTACATCTGCAAAAGAATCAATGGCTTATGGGCCGCTGCTTGGAGACTGATTCATTAAAATGTTAACATTGCTTTTTATGATTTATCTTTATTTTGCATGCATTGATATTTTGTCTGCATGTATGTCTGTGTGGTGTGTCAAATCCCCTGCAACTGGAGTTACAAGCAGTTGTGGGCTGCCATATGGGTGCTAGAGATTGAACCCAGTTCCTCTGGAAGAGCAGTCAGTGCTCTTAACCATTGAGCCATCTCTCCAGCCCAAAATGTTAATATTCTTAAAGGAGATATTGATGCCCAGAAGTAACACTATGCTGGCAACTTCACAGCAAACATTCTGTTTGACTCTCAGCTGACAAAAGACTTCCATCAGACTCCAGAAGGAGGGCTTCTCCAGAGGGAGGGATTCCTGCCTCTTCCCTTGTCTCCTTAATTTTTCTCCTTTCTATCTTGTCTTTCCACAGCCTTCACTCTTCAATTCTCCTCAAACTTCTCTCCTCCTTCATAACCGGTCTCCATGATCAGACCTCCCTCCAGGCACCTCATCCTAAACCCCTTCCCCCCAACTCTTCCTCAGACCCTCCCTCAGGCTCCTGGCTTCCTCTTGGCACCCCTCAAGTCTCCCTCCCACAGACCCTCAGTTCCTCAGAGACCGGGGAGCATTAGCAAGCCCTGCCTCTCCCATCCCTTTGCAAGCCTCCTTGAGTTAGTAGATACGGACTTCCTATGATGGTCAATCCAGTGACAGGCAGTAGGGAGTCATCCCCACTAAGTCCCATTCCCTGTCCTGTCTGTCCTTAGGTCTGAGGGTCCCAACAGGAAGGACTGTCGCTGAGTCTCTCTAAAGCCTGGGTCTCTCTAAAGCAACCCCCCACTTTGGCCTTTGTGGGCCCACGACACCGAGTTAGGAGATGACATCACCCCAGTCTCCAGGACATCTCTGAAGTCCCACGGAGAGGTGACTGGGGTTGGAACCCAGGGCCCTCTGTGCCTGTCAAGCACACACTCCACCAAAAAACTGGTTCCCTGATGATTCTTCTTTTCTTAAGAATAAGGCTTACCTACGTTGCCCAGGATGGCCTTGAACTCAGTCTGTAGCCTAAGCTGGTCTCAACCTCATGACCCTCACTCCTGCCTCAACCTCCTATACCGACACGTCTGAGTTGAAAGTGAGGTCTGAACCCGGGTCTAACAGCCCGGGCATGAGAGGAAGTGCAGACAGAGGGAGGAAGGAAGGCTGAGCACACACCCCAGCCCCCATCCGCCAGGGCAGAGGCTCAGCCCAGTCCTTCTCCAGCCCAGGCCTTCTGCTCACCTTCAGGATTGCAAAGAGATGCTAACAAGAAACAGAGCCAAAGGTGGGGGCAGAAAGGGAGCAGGGAAGCAGGGTGTGGGTGATTCATGTGCTCAGGAGGCTGGGGTGGGACCACCGCAAGCTGTAGTCAGCATGGGCTACTGTGTGAGAAACCCTGCCTCAAAAGGTGGGGGAAGGGGACAGAGAGAGAGGGAGAGAGAAACAGGGGTGGGTGTCAGGGATGAGGGGGGCAGGCCAGCAGGGAAGAGGTGGCCACAGGGAGATATGTAACTTCCCACTTGAGAGAGAGAGAGAGAGAGAGAGAGAGAGAGAGAGAGAGAGAGAGAGAGAGAGAGAGAGAGAACAACAAGACCATCTGTCCACCAGGGCCTTTGCCTTGGTTAACTCCATCTAGATCAAGGCTGCCTGGGCTGCTAACGTGGGAGCTGGGGGGTTAAAGGTCAGACCCAGTAAGATCCCAGTAAGATGGCAAGTCCAAAGACCACTCCAAGGTCTCCCTGCTCTGGAGACCCACCCTTCCCGCCAGGGGGCTTTCTGCTTCAAGAGAGACTCGCTTTCACCTCTCTGGAGTCCCTCCTTCAACTCTTTCTTTGCCTCTGGGAAGAACCTGGACTGCTGGGCACGGCCTCGGATACTCCCGTCACATGGGGGCTGGGCTCATGACAGAGGCTTCCCAGGTAAGCATTCCCTAGGTTCCATCACAGAGAGGGGAAGGGTAGTACCCGGTGAATAAGTGGGAATCAGGATTCCAACTCATGCCCTAGAGAACCGGACTCAAGAAAATAACTGCCCTAAGGGGAAGAGGTGGTGACAAATCCAAAGACACGCGTATAAAATCAGTACTGTTAATGGGCTAGTCCTATAGAGCCATCCCAGGGCTCAAAAATAAGAGATAAAGCAAGAGGCACACAGGGCAGAGGGGACCGGACTGCGGTCGTGCAGCGACGCAGGTCCAGGAGAATCTCGGGGAAACCAGTGACTGTGGCCAGGAAGCCGGCACAGTCCAGCGGACGACAGTCCTTCCAGATCAGCCGGCTGCAGGGAAGTGCTGCAAGCCCCAACCCTGCAGGGTCCCCACGCGGGGACCAGGGATGCGACAGGACGCCCGGGATGCCAGGAGCCCTACCAGCCCCCACCCTACAGCCAGAGGGACGGGAGGCTCGGGCTTGGGGACTCTGCGGCCGCCGGCAGCAGCTCCGCGGGGACGTCGCGCTCACCGTGGCGGAGTCCGGACACCCCGCGTCCTCGCTGCGCGCCCGGCGCAGAAGCGTGCCGGTGCCGGCAGAGTCCCCGGAACCTGGGAGGCGGCTCCAGATCCCAAGATGGTGGTCCGCCGGCGCATCAGGGACAAAGGCCCCAGCAAGCCCGCGAAAGCCCGCCCACTACCCGGGCCTGTTCGCCTGATTGCTCGTTTCTCGCCCCGGTGCCTGCGATTGGACAAGGCTTCAGTTCTCACCGGCTCGGACCCTGAGTGACGGAAAGTGGCACCAATCCATGGGTGGATAAAGCAAAAAAAATAAAAATAAAAAATAAAAAACAACGCTAACTTTATTCCCATCGTTTAAGAATGACAACTTCTTGATGGCAGATATTTTGAGACCAAAACAGGAACATCATAATACCTGGCAAATTAAGGAGCCCGTTATGTTAAAACCTCCAGACTTTACAAAAATCGTTTTCTATTTAAGAGCAAGTTTCTGTTTCTTAAATCCAATGTAACCTGCAAAGCATGTGTTCCCATTTACAAGTTGTATATCCTTGTCTTCCTCTTTCATTGTATTTTTCTAACAATCTCTAACAGACAATTCTTATCTCTCCCCCATAAAAGGGACCTCAAAAGGCCAGAAGGATCTGCTCTCGCTCTCTGAAATCCCGGTTTAGGGTGAGACAGCCGGCTAGCCACGCCCCCTGCCCCCGGCCCCCCGCCCCGTGCACCTCTAAAATAAGCTTGCTCTAATTAGACAATTGTGGAACTGGTTTTTCTCCTCACAATTTTCAGGCTTAACAGTATCTTAAGGTAGGGCTTCCTGTGCGAGGACCTATGGCCAACTGAACATCTGCGCTTAGCTTGTACAAAAAGCCGTGTGATACTGTCCTAGGGTTCGAATTGGGTTCGCCTCCTTTGCCCAACTGAGACAGGAGAAATCTCTTGCAGGCACCTCAGGTAGCAGCAGGAAAATCTCAGACATGGCAGGCAATAGTTTACTAACTTTTGTGATCCTCTGGGAAAAGATGGTAGACTCAACCCAATTATAATTAAAAGATGTGTTGATTAGCTGCTAGCAGAATGAACAATTCTGCTAATTTGGTATTGAGCCAAATTTGAGATTGCTGTGAAGGAAGGGTATGGGGAAGACTTTAAAAGGAGAAACGGCACGAAGATCATCAATAACTATGGGAGCAAGTAAAAACTGTTCTGTTCTGCCAAGTGATTAAAGTACTCAGAACAATCTTTGGGTGTCTGCATAAGCAAGTTACATGATAAATTTGAATCTCCCGTTATTGAATGTCTACCGCCACTGATGTAAGTCAATCAAACCAAATTAATAAATCCAGGTTTAATGAACAGAGCAAAGCACGCCTGAGTGACCCTCCGGAGGGCGAGAGAGGAATCAGACAGCAAACATGGAGGCCAGACCTTAAGTAGCCTTGGTCTTGAGCAGCCCTGGGGATGGGCTAACTCTTGGTGGGCTTTCTGAGGGGGCAGAGTCTAGGGAGGGAGGGAGAGAGAGAGAGAGAGAGAGAGAGAGAGAGAGAGAGAGAGAGAGAGAGAGAGAGAGAGAAGGGGCTTCCACCTAATCATCACTGTACTGTCAGGCGGCTCATGTGGAGCGTCCACCAGAACATTCTAGAAACAAACAAACAAACAAAAACAATTAGTCATATCATAACCAGTAGAGAGTCATAACTGTACACTTTTGGGTGGAGGTCACTGAATCAGGGTTCCTGGGAATTTGTCTTCCAGGGACTGGAGTCAGAGACAAATGACGGGTGGGTACCAAATGGATGTCCAGCATACAATGGAGCTTCTTCAGCCAAAGCACACTCATGTAGCCAGACATGCACAGAGGCCTTCTGCAGAGCAAAGAAAGGACAGCTCCACATTTCTGGGGAGAACTGGGTGCTTGAAGTACATTGACGGCCAGGGATGGGTACCTGTGGAGGTTTGAAAGAAAATGGTCTCCACAGGCTCATAGGCAGTGGGACTATTAGGAGGTGTGGGCTTGTAGGCGGAATGTGTCACTGGGGATGGGCTGTTAGCTCTCAGATGCTCAAGCGTGACCAGTGTGTCTCAGTTTCTCTCCCTTTGCCTGCGGACCCAGACAGAGAACTCTCAGGTCCTTCTCCAGCACCGTGGCTGCCTACATGCTACTACACTTCTCGTCACGATGATCATGGACTGAACCTCTGAACCTGTAAGCCACCCCAATTAAATGTTGTCCTTTCTAAGAATTTCCAGGGGGGTGGGGAGCTGGAGAGATGGCTCAGAGGTTAAGAGCACTGGCTGCTCTTCCAAAGGTCCTGAGTCCAATTCCCAGCAACCACATGGTGGCTTGTGGGGACACCAGACCTTGAGCAGAAACCCACTTCCCCTTCGGCCTGGGAGCAGGCATCTGTGTAATGTTTACTGAAAACAATTCAGTGCTTTAAAGCTCTTGATAGGGCTCAGATAAGGGCTTGCTCACTGAAATACCAGGCTTTTCACACCCCCTACGGCTAGATGCCTCTTCCTGTTTCCCTGTGGTGTCTCCCCGATTCTGGGGCCGGAGATTAAACCACCAGCCAGGAGGAAAGAATGGTATGTAGATGAATGGCAGAAGTCCTTAAAAAGGGAAGCTCCTTTTTCTTAGAGGGACTTCTTCTGAGAGCTCTCGGCTAAGCGGACTGGGGTCTCCTCCTAAGCTGACTTGGGAAGCATAAAGTTTTCTTAAAGCAACCGACCGGTCTCTGTGTCATCTATCCCGACCACCTCGCTACATTCTCGGATGCAGGCCGCACAGCAGGTGCGACAGTGGCTCACAACCATCTGTAATGAGATCTGGTGCCCTTTTCTGGACATACATGCAGGCAGAACACTGCATAATAAATAAGGCAATCTGAAAGAAAGAAAGAAAGAAAGAAAGAAAGAAAGAAAGAAAGAAAGAAAGAGAGGGTTGCTGTGGTCATGGTCTCTTTTCACAGCAATAGAAACACTAAGACAGTCCACTTGTCCTAATTTAGTAATTTATGATTGGTCGGTTCAGACAAAGAAAGAGTGTCTGGTAGGCCTACAGTTGTAGGTAAACATGTCCAGGTCTGGCCTTGAGCATATCTGACCAGCTATCCAGAAGTGGGTTCCCTGCTTGGCAGTAGTGGGAGTGTCAATGGGGATGAAGAAGAAGCCATAAATTTGCCAATCTTTTTTAATTTTTTTGTGATCCTTTAGTCTGTCTGTCTGTCTGTCAGTCTGTCTGTCTGCCAGTGATCTGTCTAACTCCTGGTGCCTTGGCTATATTAGTTTTTTGCAATATGCACATGAAAGTCAAAACTAAGCTGGGCAGTGGTGGGGCACTCCTTTAATCCCAGCTCTCGGGAGGCAGAGGCAGGCGGATCTCTGTGAGTTCCAGACCAGCCTGGTCTACAGGAGCTAGTTCCAGGACAGCCTCCAAAGCCACAGAGAAACCCTGTCTCGAAAAAACAAAAACAAACAAAAAAAGTCAAAACTAATAAAATGACTTATAGCAACAGCCCAATCAAAAAACTAATGATGTGTTTTGCATTTCTCTTGGTAAGAAAAAAATTGAAAACATATAAAATATGTCCCATATGAATACAACTTATTTCAATTGCTTTCCAACACAGACAAAATTATGAGACTTGAAACATTTTTTATGAAAGCAAATAGCATTAATACAGATGATGTGTCTATGGAAAAATGTGTTTTGTCTTGAAGCAATATATGCAAAGGAGTATGTGAATGGATTCAGGCATTATGTTGGCCTACCCCTCTCACCTGGCAGAATGCACTCAGGCAGTACCATGGGCAGGCCCTTTAAAGGACCCCTTTAAAAGAAAGACCTCGGGCTGGAGAAATGGCTCAGAGGTTAAGAGCACTAACTGCTCTTTCAGAGGTCCTGAGTTCAATTCCCAAAAACCACATGGTGGCTCACAACCATCTGTAATGAGATCAGGTGCCCTCTTCTGGCCTGCAGGTATACATGCAGGCAGAATACTGTATACATAATAAATAAATACATTTAAAAAAAGAAAAAGAAAGACCTCTGCCCACTTAGGATCTTTCCCTCCTCTTGTTGCTTGCCTGGGGCAGACAGGACTTTTCCTGTCTCTCTCTTCTCTTCTCTTCTGTCCTCTCTCTCTCTCTGACTCTGTGTCTCTTTACTTCTTTTCTCTTTCCTTCCCCCTTCCCTCCTCTTTCTAATAAAACTTCTCACTAAGCCTGGCGTGTTTGCCCCTCCACCTCAGTCACCCTCGCCTGCCATGGAATCCGCTAAGGTCCCCTCGCGCATTATCCTAACAGTATGTCTTGAATTTTGTTCTAAGTTTTATTTTAGCTATGCAGTGCTGTTTTCTACTACAAGGAACTGAGATGTTACCATGTGTTGGGAGCCATGTGGCCTAGTTTCAGGTCAGCATATAAGTTCTTGTCCAATGGGTCTGCACGAGGCAAAGCCGGCAGAGACAGTCTCCCTCGGCAGGGACCAGTGAACTCTGGGACAGTGCCTAATGCTGATGGAATCGCTCAGCCTGTGCACTGTCTTCCATCTCATAATATTGATGATCTCTTGGTGGTTTTTAGTGGACAGATGCGGTCATTCCCAGAAACCCCATTTTTTTCCTGTCAAATATTTTCCCTAAGATTCTTTGGGAACTGATGCTTCTCAAGTTTCTTAACTGGAAATACCAGCTGTCACTCCAGACCCTGAGAATGGTTCAGATTCAATGCGAACAGATCGGAAGCAATAAAAGTGAATGGGTAGTTAAAGAAGTACAAGTTAGCTGTATACAAACAGCTTATGGCAAATCACCCTATTTCTGTAGATATGCTTTGTTAAGTTTTGAACGATATTGTAGTTCTTGAAAATGTGTGCCTATGTTTGACACTTTTTAGCATGCGCCTGGCTTGATATTTAGCCAAGCTAGCAAAATGATGAGTGGTGTTTTGGTTTAAAATATGTTTTGATGTCAAAGTTAGAAAAACATATTTGACACATTTGTTTTTACCAGAGGGTTAATGCTGGAGGGTGGGGCAACATGCTTGGTTCTGAAGTATAAATAAGGACAGCTTGAGCTGTCCCAGCCAGCCACTTGTGTAAAACTATCTGGTAGC